AGAAAGAGGGGAGCCAGAGCGGCAGTGGTGGTGACCGAGTGATTTAGGGAAACTAAAGCAGGAAGGGAGGTCATGGAGGAGGAAGATTCTAAGATCGGGCAAAGAGACTGAACTGGGTTTGGTCTACCCTGTTTGGGGCATTGGGTCAGAAGCACAGGGAGCGTTCCAGAGGGGCTGGGGACAGCAATGTGGGAGGGTCCCACCACAGCAGGGATTTAGGTTCTGGTAGGTGTCTTCTGCAGGAACTGGATGGCCCCTTCCTCACTCATTATCTCAGCTGTCCCAGAGGGGCAAGAGCCAAGCATCGCCCCTCAGCCTATGCTGAGCTGACGCGTTCAGACCTCCATAGCTGCGGCCCCCACGGTGTTGGTGAAATGTGCCCACCGCCTGGCCCTGCTCCTCTCCAGGGCTGCCCTCCTCCAGCTCCGTCACCCCCTGACTTGGGGCTGGCTTCTATGGAGCAGGGTGGTCTGCCAAAGGAGGGAGTGCAGTAAATGTCTGTGTGAGTGTGTGTGCACTTGGGTGAGGGCCTGAGAGTTTAAAGGCAAGGATCTTGATTGGCTTGTAACAACCAATGAGCAGGCAGAGATGAAGGCCAAAGGATATTCAAATCGATGTAAAGGGTCATTTTCAAACTCCACCCCTGATTTTTGCCTTTCCCAGCACAGCTGTCTCCGCTGTGCTCCATTTCACTTCCACCCTCTGGCCTCAGACCAAACCCAGCCGTGTTCCCCCTGCTTGAGCCTGTAGCTCAGGAGCACGTGCAGGGCTGACAGCACCAGGCAGCACAGAGACCAGGGCCCTGTGGGTGGCGAATAGGGTGCGGGGGTTGGAGGATGGGGTTGGTTCCATGGAGTAAGGAAGGAGAAGAAGCAGGGAGAACCCAGCTGGGGTGATGCTTCCTGCACTTCCTGAGCCCAGGCCTCGCCCCAGCGTGCTTAGGGTGGAGCCTGGTTCCGTGCCTGTCCCATCCTGAGCTTCCTGTGAAGCAGCTGTGCCCCCAGACTGCAGGCTTGTGTGGGCAGTAGTTCAGGTCCCTCTGACCACTCTGGCAGGGAAAAAGCTGCTTTGAGACCAGATGCTTTGCACCTGACATCCTGGGACCAGGAAGGGCCATTGTTATGGGACCATTGTCATGGGAGCGGGGATAACCCGGTCAGGGCGACTGGTGACAAGGATCCTGCTGGAGCCAGAGCACAGAGCCACTGGGGCCAGAGGTATAAGCAGACTTGTTGGGGTTCAGGGAGAAGACTCCTTGGATCTGAAATAGGTGAGCCTGGGTGAAGGCTGAGGAGTTGCCCATGGAGAATCTCTGAGCCCAGGAGGAGTAGCAGGCAGGAGACAGGAGGCCTGAGTGCCAGTCCCGGTTTGGCCCTGAAATAGCTGAGTGACTTTGGACAGGCCACTTGCCTTCTCTGGACCAAATCTCCCTCAGTTGTGAAATAAGCACTGAGAGAAATTCCCTTTTGTCCCTGCTACTTCTGGTTCTATCATGGAGGAAATTCACAACTACCCTTTCACCTCTGCCAGCCTAGCTTAGCCCTGAGCTGAGTTTTGGGGACCACCTTCAGATGTCTATGGCTCCCCGGTTTTCCCATTTCCATGTCAGAGGCCAGCCCTCCTTCCTGTGAGACTGAGATCTACCTGGGCTCAGAGAAGCTGGTGCAGGATGGACTGAGCCTTGCTAGAAAAGCAAGTACGACAAGATAGAGGAGGGAAGGGCAGCCCGGGATTTCTCAGGCTAAGGCTGATCGGGCCCCCAGGGGGAGGGAGGAGTTCCCAGAACAGAGAGAGGCAGGGGCTGGCTAGACCAAAGCAGAGAGAGAAGACGCGATACTAAGTTACCCTGAGGGCTTCCAGTCTCTGTGCCCAGGAGTCAGAGAACAAGCCTTCAGATTCTGCTGAGGAATGAGGCATCCCACCCAAAGCTGATCCCAGACAGCCCTCCACCCCACGGCCACAGCTGCTCCCCAAGCCCCATCACACCTCTTCACACCGCCCCTCCCTTTCTCCCTCCCTTTCCCTGCCCCTTGAAGTGCCCTCCTCCCCTGCCCCTCACTCAAGCAACACCAGCAGGAGCCTCCAGGGCCCTGTCACCTTCTCACTATGCCGGGGAAGCTAGAACGGGGGTTCTGGAGATGCTCCAATCCAGACACCACAGCCCGTGGGCTGGGGGAGATGAGAAAGGCAAAGGCTTTGGTCAGGTAAGCGTGAGGTTTGTAGGGCAGGCTCAGGCAGAGGGGAGACCCAGCAGCCCAGCTCTCTGGGCACTGCTTGCCTCCCCTACCTGGCTCTAGCCCCCACCCAGCAGGACCTGGCTTTCTCCCCACTGCTTCTCTCCTGATGGTGGCGTTCCTCTCCACCTTAACACCTAAGGGAAAGGACAGGTAGAAGAAGATTGGGGCTTGGGGACCTGTAAGTCCCTCTGGTCCCTAGGGAGGGAAGAAACCTCATTTCAACCACATATGAGCACCAGATATGGAGGACACTGAACCCAAAGCTGAGCTAAGTTAGTGGGTGTGGGGTCTGGTCCACCTAGAATCAAATCAGAGCCTCTCCTGACCTGCTCCTGAATTCAACCCTTGTGTCTGCTGAGGAGGGGCCTAGGGAGAAAGGAACCCAGACCCACTTAGCTCTGGCAGACCCGCTGGGGTCCCCACAGCAGAGGTCAGAGAGGAAGCCACAGAGGGAGGTAACTGGACGGCCTGGAACGAATGTGGAAAAGCGTCCTGTATCTGTTTTACAGACGGGGAAATTAAACTCTAGTCTGCCCCCAGGTCCATCCAGGGAGATAAAGGGAGGGCTGAACACCCTGGGAATGCAAAGTCTCCAGCTCGCCCAGCTCCTTCTCTGGGCTCCTGTGAGTGTCCGTGACAATGAAGTTGGGAGAGGAGGTTGCTGAGGCTCCCAGGTTCCCTGAGGGACCTTCTCAGACGGTGGGCAGAAAACCCAGAAACGCCCAGAACGCTGGGCCCTTTGACAAGACTTCGCTGTGCCCTGCTCTGATAGTGCCAAGGGGGAGGCGCTGTCCCTAGCTCTTCAAGAGACTTCCCAACTCCTTCAGCACAGCTCCCTGCCCCAGTCCCTCCTGCAGAAATTCAACTTGTGACAAGGCCTATTGCGAGTCCCCAGGGAGCAGGGCCAGCCCAGCCTGGATGAGGGGCTGAGCCTAAGCCCAGGCTTCCCTGTCTCCAGGTCCCAGAGGCCAGGGGAAGCTGAAGGTGCAGATGGTTCCAGCAGGGCCTTCCCCTAGGGGGCTCAAGATCTCAATCTATGCAGAGGGTGGGCTCAAGATCTCAATCTATGCACATGGGTGGGGAGGCCACAGCACAGAGAGAGGGGCAGATCCCCCTCTCTTTGAGAGCTCCTGTTTCCTGGAGAGAGAGGACACACTGTGACACAGTAGAGAGCCGGCCGCAGGCTCAACAGTCACCCGCTAGTGGCGCTTAGCAAGGGATGCTCTTGTAAGCTACAGGGAGGAGCTGTCACTTCTCAGAGTCAGCGGCAGTCAGAGAAGGGGAAAGTCAGCATGGGAACACAGTTGCTAACCCCCCACGCCCACATGGTGACATGCCTAGGTGCCATCTGGGGACAGGCCTGTCTTCCTCCCCCTCGGGAGGGTCCCCCGCCCTGATTTGGTACATAAACAGGTTCAGAGAGAAGTTGAGACCCCACTGTCGGTGACGAAATCCCCTACAAACTCGCCTCTGCCTGTGCGTGTGATTCGGTGGGAGCCTCTCACCCCTGGTTTCCTGCCCTGTCTGTGGGTCACACTTCAACCAGACGAGCCGGAAGCCTTTGGGCAGAAGTCAGGAGGCCTGTTCTGTTACTCCCCGTGAGACCCTGAGGTGGCTGACAATACCTGGGCCTCAATTCCCACATCTTTGAAAAAGAAAAGTAATACCTCCCTCGCAAACGTGCTGAGGGACTTGATAAAGTGTGCATGGGCACGCTTTGTAAACACGCTTGTGTGACTGGCAGGCATCACTCCCTGAGCTGTCTTCTAGCTCCGGAGCTGCAGCCTGCTTTCCCACTGTGGTCCCTTGGGCACCAACATCTGATAGCCCTACTGTGTCGTCCTGTTGCCTACCCCTCTATCCTTCCTGCTCTCAGTCTCTGTGCACTCCTACCGTAAGAACGGGGCCGTGCTGACGTGGAGTGGGGAGCAGAAGTCCAGGGGCAGGCAAAGCAGTGGATGTGGAATCGAGCTCACTTGACAGGTTCCAATTCCAATCTCAGTTATTACCTCTGTACGCAGAGCCCCCGGCAGCAGATGCCACACCAGCAGAGCCCCAGTGGTACAGGTACAATTACACACAGCGTTCCTACACCTCCTAAGATATATTAGCTCACTCTCTGTAAATTGCATCTTACTTTAAAATTAAATCTTCGAAGCACCGACATTAACTAAAGAAAGAGATGCTAGGGTTTTTCATCTGTTTATGTTTTAACTAAACAATATGTCTCCAGGGTACTTAAGTGGTGGGGTTCAAGGATGCAGAGTTGGGGCCTGGTCCAGGTCCCTGGGCTCCCTCTCCCCCACCCCATTGATGCATCCCTTCTGAGGAACCCTGCTCCGTGTGCTCTCCCAACCCTCCCCTCCCCTACATTTGCCAGGGACCGTCCCTACACTCCCTTTCTGGTATTGAATCTCCACCTCCTCTCCCCTCTCCCCTCCCACACCCACGAAACCTTCCAGAGTGGAAACACATCACTGACCCACCACACAGGCTTGGGCATGAGGTTCCTGGCCACCCTGTGACCAGTGGGGCTTGGGGTTCATGATCAGGGATCCAAGTGTCCCTGAGCTTGTCATCCACCTTCAGCCTGGCTTTCCCTGGAGAGGGCAGCAAAGCCAGGGCCTTGCAAAGAAGAGGCAGCACACAGAGGGAGTGAACGGGAGGTGGCCCATTACTCACCCACAATTTCCTCCTGACCTTCTCAGCTCCTCCTTGGGGGTAGGTCATGGTGGGGAGGGGCAGCTGGGCACAGGGGAGAGCAGGCACGGTCTACAGAGGCCCAGGAGCCGTGTCGGACAGCACTGAGCCCACCAGGCCCAGACTCACCTATAGCAGGAGATCCCCACTTCCCTGTGCCGATAGCATCTGCCCTTTGAAGTCTCCCATCTCCCCAATGCAGGCCTTGGCCTTTCTCATTTTTATCCGAGGTGCCAGAAGAGCAGCAAAATCAGGCCCAGCTCCCAGTTCCCTCTCCCCAGTCGTCTCCAGGTGTCCCCTCCCACCAGCACACAGGAAAAGGGCCACATGGCCTGGCAAGCCCCACACCCACGGCTGCTACTGCTGATGCTGCTGTTCCCAGGTGAGGGGGAGGAGCAGCCCAGGGAGTAAAGGAGATGCATGTGGTGGGAGCAGATGAGACGGGTGTGGTGGGAGCAGAGGAGACTCGTGTGGTGGGAGCAGAAGAGATGGGTGTGGTGCGAGCAGATGGGTGTAGTGCGAGCAGAGGAGATGTGTGTGGTGGGAGCAGAGGAGACACGTGTGGTGCGAGCAGAGGAGACGCGTGTGGTGGGAGCAGAGGAGACACGTGTGGTGGGAGCAGAGGAGACACGTGTGGTGCGAGCAGAGGAGACGCGTGTGGTGGGAGCAGAGGAGACATGTGTGGTGCGAGCAGAGGAGACGCGTGTGGTGCGAGCAGAGGAGACGCGTGTGGTGTGAGCAGAGGAGATGCGTGTGGTTGGAGCAGAGGAGACTCGTGTGTTGGGAGCAGAGGAGATGCCTGTGGTGGGAGTAGAGGAGATGTGTGTGGTGGGGACCGTTGGGACAGCGGGGTCAGGAGCAGGTGGCTCTGTGGCCAGAGGCCTGGTGTGTGGGCAGGTTGTGCATGTGACCCTGACCTATGTGCTGCTTCATCATCCTCCAGGCTCTCAGGCACAATCCAAGGCTCAGGTCCTTCACAAAGAGGCAGGGCAGACGCTGACGGTGAGATGTCGGTACCCTTCCACCAGCAGGTCCTACGAGACGAAAGGCTGGTGTAAGGAGGCATCAGCAATCAAGTGCATCAGGTTAGTCACCAGCTCCAAGCCCAGGACGCTCACTTCGATCTCTCGATTCTCAATCTGGGATGACCCTGATGCTGGCTTCTTCACTGTCATCATGACTGATCTGAGAGAGGAAGACTCAGGACACTACTGGTGTAGAATCTACCGCCCTTCTGACAACTCTGTCTCTAAGTCCGTCAGATTCTATCTGGTGGTGTCTCCAGGTGAGCCCCTTCCCTAGGGTCCTCAGGGGGATGCCCCTCACCTCCTTTTGATGCCTCCAGCACCCCTAGTTTCCAAATCATGGTAGCCACCCACACCCACACCCAGTCTCCTGGGAAGGCTGTCGGGAACAGGTGCAGGGGAACTCATTTGTGCACATGAGCAGCCATCTCACAGTCTCCACGACTCCCAAGCCTGCAGCCTGGGCCTCCTGAGAGATGCTGAAACAGACCCAGTGAGCATGCTGAGCAGTCAGCCCACATGACCCTGCTACCGGAGCGCAGGACTGCCCGGCATCTTTGGTACACAGCAGGTGCCCAGGAAAGATGCATCCACTGGCTGTCCCCACCATGGAGGGCCAGTGGCCCCTTAATATCTGGCTGGGGCTCTGTCCATCCCTCATAGTCCAAATCAGGGTCAGCAAACTATGACCCGATAACTAAGAATGCCTGAAAAAAAAAATCAAAAGAAAAACAGTATTTTGAGACATGTAGGAAATTCAAATTTCAGTGCCTAGAAGTAGAGTGATTTTCTGGAACACAGCCATGCCCCCTCATTTACCTATTGTTTGTGGCCCTTTTCATGCTGCGACAGCAAAATAGAGCAGTTGTGACAGAGACCACATGGCCCATCCTGACCCTTTACAGAAAGTGTGCCAACCTCCAGCCCAGAGCAGAGCTACTCAAAGTTCCTATGGAAGAGGACCTTCTTTAAAACATAAATGTGCAATTCACCAATGACTAATTTTTTTTTGTAAAATATGGTAAAAATAAATCACTAGAAAAGTAAAATGAGAAAAAGACATACAAAGTACAAGCCCAAAGTTTATTAAATTTGGCAAACATAAAATTTCATTTTAATAAACATAATCAAACCAAATATTACATAGGGAAAAAAAGTATAAAAACCATATACATTGTTCATTTGAAAGTGTGCCTAAAGGTGGTTGATGGAGTGGCTTAACGGTATACCCATAATGTTTTGTGATTCCTCAGTTAAAACTAAACACACATTTCCTTAGAAAGGAAATCACAATTGTCTATATTAAATGCCAATATGCACCCTTCAAAGAAACACCATCTATCCATATTTAATAAGGCTTATAGTGTGACAAGTGAGTGCTCTTCTTACTCATTAACTTACCTAATCTGAGAACTCTTTATGACACCACATCGCTCAGGAGATAATGTATAAAGAAATTGTGTTGATTTTTTAAAAAATAATACTTATAGTAGAATACCAGAAAACTGGTCTCACAGAGGTATATTGTCAGAAATAGAAGAAATTTTAATGCAATTCTGACAAGCCCAATAGTTTTATTTTTAACTTTTACAAAAGGAAACAAATGATACTGTAATTTCAAAATACATCTTCAATCCTTTATCAGTAGCCAGTTCCAAAACTTTATCCTAAAACTTAGAGTTTAAAGTATCTTTTTATGGGAAAATATGGATTTTAGATCTATGAATTTCCTCTGTATATATCTTCTTTTGACAAAAAACAAAATTCGAAACATGCTATCAAATTATTAATGTTTACCCATCAGCACTTGTGAAGATATGCAGTATGAAGATTACCACCTATTTTGTTGATAACTGTAAATTAAGACCATGTCATAGCAATTGATAGAAATGGTTCTTCTAACTTTTATTTTTGCAGTTAGACTTTATTTGCCACTGAAAAACCTGTTGCCTTTCTTCCTTGCAGCATCAGAAATATTAACATCAGGACTACAATATAAACAAGCCTGATGGTGCAATTCGCATTTGTGCTAAACTGGCTTCTTGTCCTGAAGAAACATTAGGAATTCTTTCTATAAATGAAACATTCTCAACAAAACTTTTAATTTGACATGCAATAGTAGCTGTTTATGAGCTGTTTCCATATTTCCACATACTAAAGAGAATGATTTGAAATTTAATATATTTACCTTATATAATTCACAATTTTGTCCATGTTGGTCAGCACACTGTCCAATTAAGCCGCTTTTTTTTTTCATAGCAAAACTCTCTCAATGAAGGAATCAGTGCGTTAATTTACAATCTAGCCCAAGCCTTCTTAATCTGGATGACTTTTCCAGAACGTTTTCCTGTCATTGCAACTGCAGCCATCAGAACATACTCTTACCCGAAACTTAACCTCCAGACCACATGCTGATCATACAATCTTCATAGTTTTATACATTCAGAGCTAGTTGTGTTTTTGATAATTAAACTAGAAATTCAGAATTCCTTCCTATCATGTTCGAATCGCATATTCTGTAAGAATAGCTATGCTAGCAATATCTGTGCATTTTTTTCAAATTGCCATGAAAAATACTTTGCTAGCTTCCTTTGTTCTAGGAAATGATCATCCATATCATTATCCAATTCCTGAATATGTTGACCTAAGGCACCAAGGGAAAATGATATTAAGCTCCCTTCTTTGCTATAAATTACCCAATATTGTAATGCAAACGTTGTTCAGTAATGTTTTGGCAATTGTAGATGAATTATTAGTCTTTGCAATACAAAATGTTACTTTACAAGAAGCCAAAAAGTCCAGAGCTTATATGTCAAATACGGATTGCTTTTGAGAGCTTTTCTATCCGATATTCTTTTTATTTTTTTCCCCTAAAAACAATTAGTTTTTTGTGACCTTGCGTTTTTCCGTTTTATGTGTATATGCCACTTGTTTTTATGGTTCATATGCCTCATTACCCAATACATGTCAATAAATACCTCACTAGGTTTTAATACTTCCCTACTAATTATAACTACAAAACTCACACATGTGACTGTAATAGTTCCCTATTGCTGCCATAACAAATTACCACAAACTGGCCAGGCACGGTGGCTCACGCCTATAATCCCAGCACTATGAGAGGATGAGGTGGATGGACCACAAGGTTAGGAGATCAAGACCATCCTGGCCAACAAGGTGAAACCCTGTCTCTATTAAAATACAAAAAACTAGCTGGGCATGGTGGTGCATGCCTGTAGTCCCAGCTACTTGGGAGGCTGAGGCAGGGGAATTGATTGAACCCGGGAGGCAGAAGTTGCAGTGACCAAGATCGCGCCACTGCACTCCAGCCTGGCAACAGAGCAAGACTCTCTCTCTCTCTCTCTCTCTCTCTCTCTCTCTCTCTTTCTCTCTCTCTTTCTGTGTATGTGTGTGTGCGTATATATATATATGTATATATATATATATATGTATATACATATATCACAAACTTAGTGACTTAAGACAAATTTATTATCTTACAGTTCTGTAGCTCAGAAGTCCAGTGTAGGTCTTACTGAACTAAAACCAAGGGTTGGCAGGCTGTGTTCCCTCCATGGGGGCTGTGGGAGATCATCTTTCTCTTTATCCAGGTCATGCGCAGAATTCAGTTTCCTGCAGGTATCAGAGACCGAGATTTTGGTTTTTTTGCTTGCTGTAAACTGAAAGCTGCCCCACTTCACAAGGCTACCACATTCCTTGGCCCATGGCCCCCTTTCTACCTCGTCAAAGCCATCAGCACTGGATGGGGGTCCCTCTCACACTACAACTGTCTCTTACCACAGCTAGGAAATGTTCTCCACTCTTATAGACTCATAATTAGATTGGGCCCACCTGGATAGCCCAGGCTACTCTCTCCAACTCAAGGTTTTCAACGTTAATACATCTGCAGATTTCCCTCTGCCATGGAAGGCAGTGTCCTCACGGGCTCCTGGGATGAGGGAGTGGACATTTTGGGGTACCCTTATTCTGCCTACCACAATGATGGATTCTACTTTCAAACAAAACCAGCACAAACTCTTTGGAATAATTGCAGAAGAAAAAAATTTCTTTTGAATCAGTTCTACCATCTTCATTTGGTTTACTGTCACTGCCACATTCAGAAAATATGCTTCTTTTCTTGACAAAAAGTTCAGTGGCTTTTGTTTTGCTATCTGTTCATTAGAATTTTATTTAGGTAATCACTAACCTACTTTAAATTAGCTAATTATGTTACACTATAAATTCTGTTAAAAATATATTTGATTAAAAATGAAAATGATTATAAAAATAATAAATTATAAAATTATACATATTTTTCAGATGTTTATACATTTTGGGGTTATAGCTAACAACTAATTTTATTTATGTATTTTGAGATGAAGTCTCATTCTGTCACCCAGGCTGGAGCACAGTGGCACAATCTCAGCTCACTTCAACTTCCGCCTTCCAGGTTCAAGTGATTCTTTTGCCTCAGACTCCTGAATAGCTGGGACTACAGGCACGTGCCACCACAACTGGCTAATTTTTGTATTTTTAGTAGAGACAGGGTTTCACCATATTAGCCAGGTTGGTCTCGAACTCCTGACCTCCTGTTCTGCCCACCTCAGCTTTCTAAAGTGCTGGGACTACAGGTGTAAGCCACTACACTTGGCCTTTTTTTTTTTGAGACAGAGTCTTGCTCTGTCGCCAAGCCTGGAGTGCAGTGGCGTCATCTCAGCTTACTGCAACCGCCACCTCCTGGGTTCAAGTGATTCTCCTTCCTCAGCCTCCTGAATAGCTGAGATTACAGGCATGTACCCCCATGCCCAACTAGTTTTTGTATTTTTAGTAGAAACAAGGTCTTGCCATGTTGGCCAGACTGGTCTCAAACTCCTGACCTCAAGTGATCTGCCCGCCTCGGCCTCCCAAACTGCTGGGATTACAAGGGTGAGCCACCATGCCTGGCCACTAATAACTAATTTTAAATTATCACACACTGTAACATGGTCCTGCTGTGGGTTAGTAGCACACAGCTCGCTCCATTTTTGACTCTCCATGCTAATTTGGCAATACCCAAGCCGGTTTATATACTGTTCAATAAGATTGGATGAGTTAACTAATCAGGTGCTTGGATCTTGAGGTAATATCAAATTGATATAAAAGTTTTAAAACCCCTACTCCCAATTTTTATACTTACCTTGTTGTGGATGGGTTACAGACAATTTGTAGGCCAGCATCAGCCCATAGATAACACATTCAATAGCACACGTCTAGAATTTTACCAATGTCCCAAACACCTCTCCCAGGCTGATCCTGGCCAGCATCCTAGACAGCCTCAGAGAGAGTGTCCTACGGAACAGGATCGTGTCCACGTGTCCATTGGCCAGTGACTCTCTCCAGGGAGGACCTTCCAGGGCACTCCCTGGAACAAGGAATGGCCCAGCCTCAGGCACCCTCTTCTCCAGGCCCCTCCCAGCCCTTTCCCCTTCTTTCCCCTTCTCCCTGCCTCCTGGACTCCAAACAGGTATGTAGACCTGTCTGCTCGGTCTAGACACTGAGAATCCCCTCTTCTCCTCCTGGCCTTGGGTCCAACCCCACTTTCTTTCACTTCTGGGCCCTACCCACCCAAACAGCCATTGCCTTTTTGACCTCAATAGTCCTCATCACTTTTCCAGAGACAGCATTCCTCACCTCCACCAAGGGCTCTGAGCACAGGTAGGTCAGCCTCAAGCCTTACACAGCTGTCCTTACTTCCTGACATCTTACTGATGACATTATTATGTTGCCTTCTTGTTTCTCGCTTTGATATTATAAGATGTTCAATACACTGTGTGAATGTGCTGGTAACTGCTCTGCTTCCTGAGTAGAGCCACCACCACCATAGCCCAGCCTGGTGAGTGCTCTGTGGACCCACAGCCTCAGCTGACTGTGACCCCAGAAGCCACGGTGTGCTGTGTATCCAGAACACACTTGGCAGATGGAGGAAGCATCTGAGATTAAGATCATGGCTGTTACAGGGATCGTGTAAACTTGTTTTTGTTTTTTCCTGCCAGGTGTTGTACGTATAGTGACTTGTGGATTTATGTTTCAGTGTACTGGAAACTTTCCATTTTATTCAAGAAATCTGTTCATGTTATAAGCCTCGATTAAGGAGGAAGTTTTTATAACCTAAAAAAAAGGCGGCGGGGGGTGGGGGCGGGAGGTAAACGGCAAGAGTGGTGTGCAGCCGGTTCACAGAGTCGCAGAAATCAAGAGGGGCTGTGAAAGGCATTCCCTGGGCTGCAGAGGCTGGGGGTCCAGGGCTGTGCAGCAGAACTGGGAGGGGCAGGGATCTGAAAACTGCCCTTCAGCTTCCCCACAAGGGGCTCCCTTCCCAAGCCCCAGAGGCGTGAGAAAGAGAATGGAGGGCAGAGAGCGGAGGGGCCGAAGCACCATGGCTGTGTCCACCCTCAGAAGGCTCAGGTGGGTGCCGGTCCAAAGGTTCAAGTGCTGGGAGTGGGACAGGCCTCCTGACTCCTCTTCCAGTGCTCACCCGAGACCCAAGGATATCACTGCAGGTGCCCAGGAGAGCCCAGGCCCCAGATCTGTCTAATTCTGAGCCAGGGGACTTCACAGTTCAGTCCTCACCCCTCAAATCAGTTTTCTTCTCTGGGCCCATGGGCTCTGTTCCCAGTCTGGCCCAACTTCCCCATCCCGCTTTCCTGCTGGCAGGCACCGGTGGGGTCTCCCACTCAATAACCACGGCCCCTTCTCCTCCCCAGCAGCCTCTGCCTCCACACGGACCACCTGGGCTCCCCGCAACCTGGTCTCTTCACAGACCCAGACCCAGAGCTGTGTGCTTCCCACTAAAGGAGCCAGAGAAGCCCCTGAGTCTCCATCTACCATCGCTGTCCCTTCACAGTGAGTTCGTGGGGTGCCCAGAGCCACACAGGCCCGGGCAGGGGCTGGCAGATGGAGACTTGCCTCCCCAGCCCATCCTCTCCCTTTCTTGTCCCTTCACCTTCCAGGCCACAGAACTCCACGCTCCGCCCTGGCCCTGCAGCCCCCAGCACCCTCCTCCCTGTGCTCTGCGGACTCCTCGGAGCCAAGAGCCTGGTGCTGTCGGCCCTGCTCGTCTGGTGGTGAGTGTGGTGTGGGTTGGACTCGGGCAAATGGAACAGGGAACAGCTTCTGCCCAGGACAGCGGGTCAGAGGGGAATTGGCCAGAGAACAGAGGTGGAAATTACCATCGGCAGTGCTCTCGAAATCACAGCCTCATAGAGCCGATCCATTGACATGTCACACAGGCTCACCTTTGTCCTTCAGCTGCAGACTTGCAGGAATCTCATCCACGTTTCTCTTGTCTCTGTGTTTTCTCTTCTCTCTTTCTTCCCCGCCCCCACCACGCCCTTTTCATCCCTGTCCCTCTCCATTTCTCCCCCTCCCTCTTCCCCACTCCACCCGTCTTCCTCTCTCCCTCTCTGTCTCTCTCTTTCTTCCTCCTCCCCCCTTCTTCCCTCTTTCTTTCTCCTTCTCTCCTTCCCCTCCCCTATCCCTCCATCAGAAACACTGACCTACACAGCTGGAAAGTCCCTCCCACCACCTGCCCTTCCAGGGACTCCCTAAAGCCACCATCCCAGGACTCTGCCTCATTCTAGTCCTGAGCGAGAGAAGGTAGACACAGGAGGGAAACAGCCACCGGGAGGAGGGACATGTGGGAAAAGCCATAGGTGGGGCTGAGTGAAAGGTGCAAGGACAACTCAGTCAGGCCAAGAGCCGGCTTGCTGGAGGAGGAGCAGGCTCGGGGAGAGGGACAGGGTAGGAGAACAGATTCAAGTCATTTCACTTATTTCTCCTGGCTCTTTGCATCTCAGGGTCTTAAGGAATCGGCAAATGCCGCATCAAGGGAGATCTCTGCTGCACCCAGCTCAGCACAGTCCCCAGGCCCATAGATGCTTCCCACTGAGCCACAGGACCCCAGGTGAGCGGCGAGCCTGCAACAAGGCTGGGCTCCCCGGAGCTCCTCCCGGACCTCTGCATGCTCTGCAAAGAAAAAGCCAGAACTTTATCCAAGGCCTTTGGCCACACCCTCCCAGGCCCTAGACTTGCCCACCCTCAGTTTGCACTGGACCCCGTTGTGGGAGCAAAGCCCAGCACCTGCAGTGCCTTTTCACCAAGCCCGAGTCACTGATGACCATCCCTCCTCCCCGCCTCCTTCTATCTATAGCCCCCGAGAAGAGGAAAACTTGGCCAAGTGAGGTGGCTCACACCTGTAATCCCAGCACTTTGAGAGGCTGGGGCAAGAAAAACTTTAGGCCTGGAACGCTGGTGGCTGCCACGTGTAATATCACCACGTTGGGAGGCCAAAGCTGGAGGATTGCCTGAATCCAAGAGTTCGCGGTTGCAACGAGCCATGGTCACGCCACTGCACGCTAGCCTGAGCAACAGAGTGAGATCTTGTCTCTAAAACAGAAAAGAAGAAAAGAAACACGTTAGACAAAATAAACTTAACAGAGTTTATCTGAGCAAGGATCGATGTGCAAATTGGGCAGCCCTCCAAACCGGAAGAGGTTTAGAGAACTCCACTCTGCAACCCAGGCAGCTGTAGAGACAGCAAAAGACTGAAGAAAGCAGAAACAAGGAACCAAAAGCGAATCGGTCATTGCCGTTACCTTCCTCGTAAAGGTTAAAGCAGAGGGGACTTCCTTTCCGTGCTGGCCAAAATGGGCCTGTTCAGGGCTTTGGCTATTACCTCTCTCTCCTAATTTCTCGGAAGGTCAGATAAACAGTGTGGTTTCAGCTTGGTGATGTGCAACCTTAGCACGGTGACCCCATTTCGGTTTGGGCTGTTGGACCGAGGGCAGGAGCTCAGTCTAAATCAAGGCCTCTTATCAATCTTATGTAACACCCCACAGCCAGACGTGCCCATCTCCCTCTCCCTTTGCTCAGCCACACTCTGCCAAGGCCTCCCCTGTCGTGCCTCCTCCCCGTTTCCAAGCCCCAGCACTTGGACCACTGTGTCAGCCACCTAACAGGGGTCCCTCTTCAGTCCCCACCTCCTAGCGGGCTCCCCTGATACACCCCTTCCCAACAATACCTCTGTGCATTTCCACCACCCAGGAATTGAAGTCCTGTGTCATTACAGGGGGCCTGAGCATGCTTTGCCCACCCCTGCAGCACAGCACTGCCCTGTGCTGTCCTTACCGCCGCCATCGTGGCTGCAGCCTACAGACGAAAAAGTGAACTTTTCTTGTTTCCTGCACGAGCTGGGCAAGAGGCTCCTCAACTTGCCACATTCGAGATCACTCTGTGCCTTGCCCCAGGCCTGTCACCCCCACAGGGCTGTCCTCTGACACTTGCAGTCCCCGTTTCGGACCTACTGGACTGAGCCTGATGTGATAATCTTCTCTCTCCTGTTCGTCATCTATTTTTCTGTATTCCTACGCTCTGGGAAAGCGACTCAAAGTTACATTCTATTCAAATGTTTACAATATACACGATCACATTTCTCATTTCTAAACGGTCCATTTGTTCTCTGAATGTTCCTTTTTATAGCACAGCATGTTTTATTTTGGCAAGCCATATTTTCACTGGAAATATTAAAGTTTTAACTTTTGAACTTCTTCAAAGCTTTGTATATTTTCTGTGTCCTCTCAGTGTCCATCATATCTTTCGTTTTCTCCTTTCATTTACCTCTGTCTTTCTTCAGAGCTTTCTGGAAGCCTCTGCCACTTCTCCACCACCCACTTGCATGGAAGCACCCAGAAGCCCCATGCGTGCCACAGGGTGCTGTGGGCTCCAGGCTGATTGGGCAGAGCATGGCTCCTGTTTTTGTTTTTTGTTTTTTGTTTTTTTTTTTTTCTTTCACAGCCCCTGTTTCTCCAGAAAGGACTCTTAGCTGTCCTCCCTGGGGGTGTAAGCCTAGACCCAGGGTTCTAGGCACCAACTGGAGCAGAGCAAAGGGGTCTCACTGCCCAATATCTGTTCCCACCCAAACTCCCACTACACGTTGTCTCTCTGTGGCCCCCCGTGCCCCGAGTAGAGCACCTCTGTGTCCACCCTCATCAGAGACTTACCTCAAGCTCTGAACAGCTGTTGAGAGAGAGGAAAGACAGAAGATGTGAGTAGCTAACCTACTCTCAGTCTCACAAGAGCCAGAGAATCCAGTAGTCTAAGTGATTCTTAAAGCAGAGCTCCAACCTGTTCTCTGGTTTCTGGCACCCACTTCAACCCTGCGTCAAGACATACAATTTCTTGCTGGGCGCGATGGCTTACACCTATAATCCCAGCACTTTGGGAGGCTGAGGCGAGCAGATCGCCTGAGGTCGGGAGTTCGAGACCAGCCTGACCAACATGGAGAAACCCCATATCTACTAAAAATACAAAAACTAGCTGGGCATGGTGGGGCAAACCTGTAATCCCAGCTACTCAGGAGGCTGAGGAAGGAGAATCGCTTGAATCCAGGAGGCGGAGGTTAGAGTGAGCCAAGATCATGCCACTGCACTCCAGCCTGGGTGACAGGGAGAGGCTCTGTCTCAAAAAAAAAAAAAAAAAAAAAAAAAGACATACCATTTCTCCTCTCTACCTTTCTGGGGTTCTAGGGCAAAAATGACTTTCCTCTTATTCCCCCACTCCCACCAGCTTTCTCCGATCTGTGAAGTCATCTGATTTTACCCACCTCCGAAAATGTGTCTGGAGCTCTCTGTTTATCCTTGAGGATGAGTTTGAGGTGGTAGGAATGAGATTAAGAGCAGGGCTGATCTCAGTATTGCTTAACCTGATCTCAGTATTGCTTTAACGCCACAGGGACCCATAATCCATTCATCCTGCCACCTGCCGCTTTCCCCCATCTCACTCATGCTTTCCTTTCCCTTAGATGCCATGATCCAACCTCAAGTCACTCTTTGGCACACAGCCTCCTTTTCTGTGCCACTCTCCCCTTTTATTGAACTCCTCTGGGAAAACTGTAACTCTGATCGAACCCAGCTTCCCACTTAAAATGTGCCTGAACCCAGCCAAGGTGAATGTGGCTGTGGCTGGCAAAATATAGTCTATCATCCCGAAATGTCTCACTGTAAGCACGTGACCTTGAGAGTGGAGTGGCTCTGCTCCATTCTAGACCCACAGCATCCCTGTCTTCCCTCTCCACATGCTCAGCTGGTGTCCCCACATCCTCAGCTGGTGTCCCCACATCCTAACTCACTGAACAGAGAGAGAGAGGGAAAGAGAGAAAGGGAGGGAGGGAGGGACACAGGGAGAAGGAGAGAAAGAGAGGAAGGAAGGAGGGAGGGAGGGAGGGAGGGAGGAAGGAGGGAAAGGGAGGAAAGAGAGGGAAGGAGGGAGGGTAGAAGGAAGGAAGGAAGGAAGGAAGAAGGGAGGGAGGGAGGGAGGGAAAACTATGTCCATTTGATCCCACCACACCTACCAGTCACCTGCCTCTCTTCTTCCTCTCACTCTCCCTACTCTCATCTCAAGCCAGTCACTTTCCTTCAGCTCCAAATTTCATCTTCTCTTGTTTACATAAGAATATTCCAGCCGAGCATGGTGGAGCATGCTTATGGTCCCGGCTACTCAGGAGGCTAAGGCAAGAGGACTGCTTGAGCCTGTGAGGTCAAGCCTGCAGTGAACTATGATCACGCCGCTGCACTCCAGCCTGGGAGACAGAGCAAGATCCTGTCTAAAATAAAATACGGAATATTCGTCCAGAAGCCACCCCTCTCTCCTGCATCATCTTCCTCCCCGTTGTATGTCATGACCAGCAGAATCGAAACGGGCTCTATACATTAAGCTGTCCCCACTTACAGCCCTCCAGCCACTGCTCCAACATCTTATTGTCCTCTGCAACAAAGGCCCGTGAAAGGACTGGCTGCACCATCAGCCTTTGTTCTCTCTTGAAGCCAGTCAGGCCTTTGACGGTGCCACTCCCTGAAACACCTCCAGTGACTTCTGCACTGTGAAACCCAACAGCCAGTGCTGAAATCTCCTCATCCTGGGAAGAAGAACAACCCGGGCCTGGCCTCCCACTTCTGCCTTCTCGAGATATTTTTTTTCCAGGGCTTCCAGGAAAAAAGAACTCTTGTGACATTCTCCTGACTCATTTGATATTGCATAATAAATTAGCCCCAAAACGTAGTAGCTTAAAACAACACATGATAAATATCCATTAAGTCACGGGTTTTTTGGGGGTGGGGGGGTGTGATCAGAAATTTGGGAACAACTTAGCTGGGTGTTCCTGGCTCAGCACCTCTCTGGTGTTGCAGTCAGGATGTCAGTGCGGTCATGGGGGGCCGTGCCCAAGGCAGGCACTCTCACGTGCTTGCTGGCACCGGCCTCAGTGCTTTGCCATGTGAGCCTTTCTTCACAGCATGGGAACTAACTTCCCCGATGTGACTGATCCAAGAGAGGCTGTGGAAGGAAGAAGTTATAGTACCGTTAATAATGACCTAGTCTCCAAAATCACAAACCGTTGCTTCTGCCACATTCTACTCATTGGAAGCCAGTCACTGGGTCCAGCCCACACTCAAAGGGATTCGCCTCCATCCCTTGAAGGAAGGTATATTAAAGAATTCGCGCCTGTATTTTAAAACCACCAAGTACACACACTGGCCACAAATTATTTACATTCCTCCCACATGCAAAATACACTCAGCCCCACCAAAAGCCTCCCAAAGTCTCATCCCATTATGGCATGAGGACAAGTCCAGGAACGCATCATTTAAATCAGGTCCAGGTGTGGAGGAAATGCCTCAGGTGTTATTCCTCAAGTACAATTCTCAGTATGAAGAGCTGGGAGCTAGAGACAAGCTCCACACACACACAATCCCAATGTCCAGTGTAGTACAGTCACAGGAAAGCCACTACACATATTCTTGTTCAAGGAAGCGGGAGGCAAAAAAAAAAGAAAAGTCACTGGTCCAACACGGCTGTGTGGTCCCTGTGGGAGGGTCGGCGGCAGGCGCAACACCTACTGGCCTCGAGGGCTACATGGGAGAGCAGGGGATGGCTGCTTCCATTCAGCGCTGTCCCCCAGAGAACTGCTGGCGAGAACTGCCATACTGAGGACCCTCCTGATGAGCTTGGGCTGTCTCTTGCTGAAATGAGCCTTAAGTGTAAAAGCTGTTAAACTGGCGAAGGAAGCCCAGGATTTAACAATGAGATACCAGAGAGCTGTGGCTGATTGTGAAAACATAAGAAGGCGAACCCAGAGATGTGTGGAAGATGCCAAGATATTTGGAATCCAGAGTTTCTGTAAGGACTTGGTGGAAGTGGCTGACATTTTGGAGAAGCCTACAGAGTGCATTTCTGAAGAATTGGAGCCTGGGGACCAGAAACTCACTCTGGCGAAGGTCTTCTGAGGGTTTTTGCTTTTAGAAGCTAAGCTGAAAAATGTGTTTGCTAAACATGGCCTGGAGAAGCTGACACCCATTGGTGACAAACATGACCCCCATCAGCATGCACTCATCTGTCATGTGCCAGCTGGTGTTGGGGTGCAAACTGGCACCATGGCATTAGTAAGACAAGATGGCTACAAACTTCATGGCCGCACCATTAGACTTGCCTGGGTAGAAGTGGCAATGAAGTCGCAGAGAAGACTATGAAGAGGATATCAGGAACTGGATGTTCTCCCTGAGTGCAGGCACCTGTGTTTCTTTAATTTATTAAACTAGGTTTGTTTAAAAAAAAAAAAAAAGTCACTGGTCTTTAGAAAATCAGAACTTTATCACCAGGCACAGTGGTTCACGCCTGTAATCTCAGCACTTTGGGAAGCTGAGGAGGGCAGAGCACGAGGTCAGGAGTTCGAGACCAGCCTGGACAACATGGTGAAACCCTGTCTCTACTAAAGATACAAAAAATTAGCCGGGTGTGGTAGTAAATGCCTGTAGTCCCAACTACTCGGGAGGCTGAGGCAGGAGAAACACTTGAACCTGGGAGGCAGAGGTTGCAGTGAGCTGAGATCATGCCAGTGCACTCAGCTTGAGCAACAGGGTGAGACTCCACCTCAAAAAAAAAAAAAAAAAAAAAAGAAAGAAAGAAACTTAACTGGGCAAATGTTGTACATTCCTTGATTCAGACTTTGCTCAATTCCTACCTAGAAATAATTTTCAGTTTTTCCGTGGTCACGGCTCCTTCCTCTGTGCTTGAGTGTGTCTCTGAGCCACCCTTCTCTTTCCATGGAAAGCAGTCCATATTTACAGCTTCACAGTTTCCCCAGGCTGCTTCCTGCCAGTTTAATTTGGGGGATGCAAAGTGAGATCCCAGATTTTATGCTACCTCTGTTCCTTTCTGTCCAATCTGGCAGTGTTTTGTGAATGTAATTCTCTTTTAAGAATATATGGATCTCCTGTAAAACTTGTGGCTCACTCCTTTAGACAAAGGCCATGCCCACAAATTTCTTCAAGAGAAGATCTCTTCCACATCATGTATATCTGCTGAAACAATGAAGATAATGTCTTTATACTTCTTAGATGCTCTAATGTTTGACTGAAAAATCTGTGAAGCACATACCCTTAAATTCATGAGAGGGCCTTTTGCCTGAGACACTATATGAAAAAATTACATATATATATATATATATCTTTAACCCTAGTTCCTGACACAGAGATCCTAAGACCCTTATAAATGGGAGTGCTAAGAGAATCTTTTGTTCTAATATTTGGTCTTTGATCTCTGTTCCTGACACAGAGCTCGTAAGACCTTTGTAATCTCCCGAGTGATAGGAGCGTCTAACACAGAGGTCCTACCTCCCTTGGAATTTCCTGGCATCTGTTCCTCTAAAGAGGCACACACCTGTAGTCCCAGCTACTCAGGAAGCCAAGGCAGAAGAATCGCTTGAACCCAGGAGGTTGTGGTGAGCCAAGATCACACCACTGCATTCCAGCCTGGGCAACAGAGCAAGGCTCTGAAAAGAAAAGAAAAAAACTCCCATACCCTGGGGAGAGGAGGGGGCTGAAGACTGCATTAATAATCAATCATTCTGACATGATGTAAAAATCACAAAAGTAAGGTTCAGGAGCTTCTGAGTTGATGAACACATTCATGTCCTGGGAGGGTGGTACACCCCAGACCCACAGAGACAGAAGCTCCCGCCCTCAAGCCCTTCCAGATCTGAAAACAATTTGGTTTTCCCGGCTAAACACACTTCCTTTCTGAGGTCTTAACGCAGGATTTTAGTCATAGCCTTGGTTTCATCTTTAGACCACATATTCCTAAATGTGCCCTGGATTTGATTTTAGTATCACTTACTGTCTGGAGGCTGAGACTTAAGTCACCAAGCACCAGCTCCCTCGTGTTGAATAATCCTGCCTATAGTTTACCTCTCTCCTCTCTTGTTTTACAAGGAGCCACAAGAAGAAACCAGGTAGACTTTCAAGACTTCGGGAAATCCTAGTGTAACCCAGTTCATGATGGACATTTTCTACTTTCCACATTACTGCAGGTGACAGTGTTGCTAAACTTTCTGCCATTGCGTAACGAAGAACCCCCTTCCTTTTTACCCACTAAGTGACCCTGGAAACGTTTCTTAAGATCTCTACCCCTAGTCTCCTCATTGGTAAAAACAGAACGGATAACACCCACATTACCAAGCTATTTGGATTTCTAAGTAGGATGAGACACTCAAAAAGCACCAGACCAAAGGGCAACACTGAACAAAGGCTCAATTTTAGAGGGAGTGAGGTGTAGAAGAAAGTAGAGTCATCTGTGGCACAGCAGAGACCATCTGTCCTTCCGGAGCTGACTGCAGCTAGAAAGACACATAATAGCATATGGGCAGAGGATGAACTTGAGACCTTCAGGAAACAGGCCCTCTTCTTGGTGGGCAGTAGAGGAAAATAAAGGAAAAAATCAGAGTGAGGAAACTGACCAAGCTGGACTCAAATTCTATGCATACTCACTGACGCCTCTCTGGCAGCAGTGGCCAGGGGCAGACTTCCTCCTTGTCAGGGGGGTATGGCAGCCAATCCTTTGAGTAATGGGACAGGGAAGGGGTTGCCTCTGCATCTATGTGCATTTGTGTGGCAGTCTCTGACTGCCTTCCTGGTTTCCTGTTCTAATTGCAGCAGGGACAAGTGGTGGAAAACCCTGATGGAGCTCAGGAGCCTGGATACTGAAAAAGCCACCTGCCACCTTCAACAGGTCATGGACCTTTCCTGGACCTAAGTTTCCTCACCTGTAGAAGGAGAAACATCATACCACATTCTTGCAAGGACCAAGATTAGCAATGCTGATGAACGCACTTCATAGATAATAAAATTATCTGAATGTTTTATTCCTGTTGTTCCCTACGTTTCCTTCAAATTCTGTCTGCATCCCCACATTTGATCTCTAGGGGACCAGCTTCTCTAGCTTGCCCTCTTTTCTCCATCATCACCTTTCTTGTCTTCAGTTCACCTGATGTCCCCTGTACATCTGGGAGCTGCCTTAGATGCTGTTGTAAGCAGGGAAGGACACTGCACACAAGCCCAGTGAGTAGAGGGGCCGTGGGTGAGCAAGGCTTGGAAACAAGACCTGGGTTTGTCTTCTCAGCTCAGCCCTGTATGAACTTGGGCAGGTAGGTCACTGCCCCTCTCTGAACATCTGTTTCTTCCTCTCAAATGAAGGGGATGGAGATGAGTTTTGAAGCCCCTTCCCCATGAGGGTAAGTCAATAAGCATGAACTGAACATCTTCCTGTGCCCAGCTCAGGGTTACCAGGGACCAAGCACCACAGAACACAAACAAAAGGAGCCGGCCTGAAAATGCAGCTGTGAGTCCTTACGTGGAGGCTCCCTGTGCAAGATTCCAGCACAGGCTGAGGGACAGGACAGTGGAGGGGGAGCAGAGCTGAAAAGAGGTGGCTAGGAGGGATAGAAAAGCAGGACACTAGTGGGTACCAGACAGTAGGGGAAGGAGCCCAACAAGGATGAGGAACTTTGCTGTGAAGTCATGTTAGTCAGGATACCAAGACCTTCCATAAGCCCAAGAGAGAGGGCACACAGTCCCAGGAAGGAGGCGAAATCCTGCCCCATCTCCACTCACTCCCAAGGTTCTGGGAGCATCCTGGTATCCAGGGACAATTTAGGCTCCCAGGGTCTGCGGTCTTTCTTTATCTTGGAAATCCCAGCCTCCTGCCTCCTCTTTCCAGCTCTTGTCTTCCTTCCTGGGCTCCTCTGGGGACCAGGCTCCACACCCAGCCAAGGGCTAGAAAGTCTGGGGACAGCCAAGGTCTCGGCCAGACCAGAGTTTCTGTTCATGGTTAAAGTGCTGAACTTGTTGGGTCTAAATATGAATATAGACTGAGTAGTGGAGTCTATTAAGAAAGAATTTTTAATTGCATTGGCTGTGATCATATTAATTTGCTATGCAGCAAAAGCTCTTTTTTTAGAAATGTATGATAAATTATTTAAGGGTGGAATGTCAGGATATCTGCAATTTATTTTAGAATACTTCCACACACAAAAAATACCCTGAGTTAAAAATACAGAAGAGGAGTGGAACACCTGGCCCCTGAGCTCTGAGGATGACAGAGCCTGCTGCCGGCCCATCCTATTCCTCCACAGAAATTAGACAAATGATCCATCTTGTGGAGAGATCACAAAAACGGCACCCTGCCTCCCCCCTCAAATCCTGCCCCCTAGCCAGCACCTGGTAGAATTCTAGCCCTGATGGCCCACATGCCCAGGGAGTTCCTGTGGTTATCAGGTAACAGCCAAGGCAGCCACCATCAAAACAGAGCCCACAGTCTCCGCGAGGTGCTCACATCTTGGTGCAGCCCTGAGGCTGGCATTGCTCAGCAGATCGCCACAAAGGCTACACCTAGAATTGCACACACTACACCAGGTTTCCTGGGATTTTTCTTTTCTCTTTGTAAATTACATATAAACATCATTTTCCCAATTCTAAGAATTCCGACATTCAACAGAGGAAAACATGTTAGATTCTTTTATCTCCTTTTTTCTTTTCCAACCAACCTTTCTCAAGCATCAGTAGGTAAGACAGCGGGAGCAAGCGGTACGGCCATGCTTCCAGGGCTGAGGCTTCCTCTCTCCTCCTCAGACTCCCCTCCTCCTGAACAAATCCTGTCCCCTCCAACACCCCCTCCGAGGATTTGTCGGTCCTCACCCCAAGAGCTCGAGGAGAGGTGGCTTGATTGGGAGGACCCTCTCCTCTGCCTTTTGCTGCTAATGGTATCTGTACCTGGTTTGCAGGTACTCTTGGCTTCAGATGGGGGACTGGAGAGGAGGATAAGAAAGAAGGCTAGAGAGGGAAGGGGGCAGGGAGAGGTGGCTCTGCAGCCAGAGGACCAGGCGGAGGCTGATCCCGGGGGTGGGTACACAGGTGACTGTGCCCACTTCCCCAGCCCTGCAGGGCCCCCTGATCTGCGGCTCCTGAGGAGAGAAACCTGAGCCTGAGGAACTGAGGGAAGGGAACCAGAAAGGGTCTCTGTGGGGAAGAGAGAGCATCTCAGCCAACCATTGTGGCCTGCCAGTTACCTGATCAGGCACAAAGCTTAACTGTGTCCTTCCCATACTTGACCTGGGACAACTCCCCTGCATCCAGCTTTGCCGCCCTCCCCAAACTGGGCTCCAAGAAAGGAGCTCAGGCACAGTGGTGGGAAACAGTGTTCCCTGCAGCTGTCAGTATTTCCAGAGTTGTCCCCAGGTGTCCCCAGGTGAGCTCTTCCCCTGAGGAAATGGCCTCCGCAAGTTTCTGGGAGAAATGCGTCACCTGCCCCCTAGAGAAGGACAGCCCCCCATATAAACAGCTCCCCTATACAGAATCAAGAAGGAAGACTGACTGATTTTTCTGCCTAAAAATCGATTCTTATGTATGATGAAAGATGCTTCTAAATAAACAAAGTTTTTTAAAATGTAAAGGGAGATTTTAAAGTCATATATATGTTATACAAAGATTAATATCCCGACTATAAAAAGAACTTGTGAAATCAATAAGCAAAGGGCAACAGCTCAACAGAAGAAACAGAAAAGGATAGAAATTGCGATCCAAAGAAACGCCCCATGGAAAATTAATGCATAAAGACAAGATCCATTTTATCAGTAAGTGAGAAAATGCAAATTAAAACAACAATGGAGGGATCATGTTTCACCTATTAAACTAACACGAATTTAAAAGATTGGTTATTCCCAGCAGTGACGAGGTTGGGAGAAAATTGGCATCTCAAAAGATGTCGGTGAGAATATAAATGAGTGCATCCTTGTAGGAAATCAATTTGTCCAGATTTATCAAAATATTAGGTATGTATCCCCTTTCCGCACACAGTTCCATTTTTAGTGTCTGCATGAGAGAATAAATCATGTGTGCACAAAGAAGCATATGTAAAAGGTTATTTGTTGCAACATTGTATGTAATAGTGAAACTTAGAAACAAATCAAATGGCTACAAATAGGAAAGGAGAGAAATAAATGAGGCTACATCTCTAGCCTAGGGCTCTAAGCAGCAGGTTAGAAAGAAGGAGACAGATGTGTGTGTTCTAAATGCGCAGAGCAGATCAACTAAACAACTCAGCTCAAGAAAATCAAGCCGCTGAGTGACACACATCACAGTACTTTATTTACACGGGCAAAATTGAGGATAAAGTTATATCCCCCGGGACGTGGTTTGGATCTGTGTCCTCACCAAATCTCATGTCTAATGGTAGTCTCCAATATTCAGATTTCTCATGAACAGTTCAGCACCATGCCCTTGGTACTGTCCTCGAGATAGTGAGTTTGTTATGAGACCCCATTTGTCTTCCGCCACGACTGGAAATTTCCTGAGACCTCCGCAGAAGGAGAAGCTGCTATGCTTCCCGTACAGCCTGCAGAACCATGAGCCAATTAAACCTCTTAAGTTACCCAGTCTCTGGTATTTATAGCAATGCAAGAATGGACTGATACACCTAGACACAGTGTATGTGTGCATGTACGCATGCATATGTGTGTGTGTGTGTGCATGCATGTGTGTGTATGTGTGTGTGTAAAAACAGGAAAGAATGTGTGCCAGAATTGCCTCGAGAGGTTACTATGAGTACTGTCTAGGTAGGGGCAGGTGACTGGTACGGAAGAGGGACTGTGAAGGGGGACTTTCACATTTTACCCTGTAGTCTACCACATTGTTTGAATGTTTTTACAAGATGTACTTGGGTTTTTTTACAAAAGTAGACAAGTAGGCAAGTGAGTGAAGAAGTCAGAGGTCCTGTCCCGGGGACAACAGTGGAAGGGTGTGTGCGTGTCATCCTGACCAAGTCTCCTGGGAACAGGCTAGTTTCAGGGTCCTCGCTGGAGGCTCGGCTTCTGTGTGGCGTGTCCCGTCTGGTTTCCTTACGTTTTACACCCTTATTCTGTCTTCTTAATAGTCGGGCAAGCCTAACAGTACCAACGAAGCTCCCGCCCCTGATTTCCCACATACCATACTAGCCCCACGAATCTGTCTATGTTCCCCACAAAAGCCCGTTCACAAATGTTTATAGTGCCCTTACTCATAATCACCACCAACCAGAAACAGCCCAAAGGTCCTTCAAATGGTGAAAGGACCGACAGACTGCAGGACATCCATGCAACAGAATGTGACTCAGCAATGCAAAAGAACAAACTACCCCCACACGTGACAAACCTGATAAATCGCAAATGCATTAGGAAAGACATCAGACTCAGAAGGCTGCACACTGCATGATTCCATACATACGACATTCTGGAATAAGCAAAACTGTCAGCACAGAAACCACTGATCAGTGGTTTCCAGGGACTGGGGGGATCTGGGGTGGTGATAAGATGGTTCTATGTCTGGGCCGTGTTGAAGGTTATGTGACTGTAACCATCTCTGCCCACTCTGCTTGTGTGATCTGATCTAGACCCAGAGATTGTTCAAGCCACCGCTTTCCTTACCTTTGTTCTTCCCGACTTTATTCCTTCTTTCCTCTTCTTCCTCTTTGCTCTTTAGCAGTGGAAAGCACCTTCAAATGGAATCCTGCATATGCCCTGTAGATGCACCTGTTGAAGTGACACTGTTCTTGATGAAAAAGGGTAAGGATCCTCTCTCAACAGAAGTTTGTCCCCATGCTTTCATTCAACGGATGAAGAAATTAAGGCCTGGGAGGAAAGGGGCTCCCTGTCCACATCCATCCTCTGTGCTCCTAATCATCCTCCATGCTGCTTTCAGAGACCGTTCCAGGGGAGGCTGAGAGGGGCCATCACGGTGAAGAGCTTATGCTGACCACTCTAGAGTCATCTAAATCTGCAATCTGGCCATGGGGTAACGAAATAGAAACAGATGTCGGGGGTAGCATGTACTT